TCATCTGTTGTTGGCAGTTATTAGTGACTAATACTACCATTACGACTCAAAAAGGAGTCACATCAATAAAACAAAGGATCTACAAAGGGAGGTTATCAAAAAATCATGCTTTTTGCAGGACACTTTAGGCAAGAAACCGCTATTTGCAGGGAAGAAGAAACATGACCGCTGCACTCCATACGGGTTCCGCAGCATTGAGATTCACTGCCCTCTGTAGGCCTATTTGCGTCACCTTGCGTGTTGGCCAATCTAATCGTTTTCAAATTTCGGTTCCACCTATCCCACTAGGAGCGAGTAGTTATGATGGTACCTAATTGTTGTAGGATCAAGCACAGGCCTTGTTCGCCTGCTGTCGCACCAGCAGTATAGGATCACTACACGGCGCCGACTTGAAGAAATCATTTAGCGTGCCGCTCTTCATTACAAAACCTGGTACAGTCTTAGTTACATGTGCACCTCAGCGAAATAACCCTGCCCCTTTCAGCTTGTACACTCGCGATGGGGAGTTTTTACTAATCGTACCGTTTCACTCACCATTTTCTTCTTTTACGTTCTGTCTGTATGTAGCCCCAGTTCACATGATCGGCGTATTTTACGCTCCAGATCTACAGTGAGGCAGCGTTTCATCGTCGCGTGGTCTCCTACCTGGAGTTTTCTTCATGTTTTCGTGCCTTTAGCTACACTATCACTTCTATTTCACGAAGGTGCGACTGGCGGACGCTAAAAACAATTGCAGCAGCGTATACACACACGTTGCTTGATACAATTGAAGACGTCCCATTCGCTCGGGTCCAGTTGGTGGAAACAACTGGCCGCCTGAATGAATGAACAAACGATGTGTAGAGTGCTTTTTGTTGGCGTTCTCTGTCATCAGTCTATCTGCATGCGTGTCGATCTGCCACCCAACCGTCGACTTGTATCTAGCATCGCCGAATTAAGTGGGCAGTGTCACTTATACGGACGCTTTCACGGTTTCAACGACGGCCCGAGAAGCTTCGCCAACAATAACAACAATTGATACCGACAAGAACAGCTCAGGTTCAAAACGGCGTTCAGTTACATACCTGACTGGTACTGTCAGCGGCTAACCAAGTATTGCCTGCGGCGCAACCCGATAACTGATAGATTGCGTGACGCTGCACCGGGTGCATTGGCGCGCTGGTACTATAACGACGCTGGCAATACCTTGTAACAGCTGGGTATTTTGTAAAATCAGCTTGAGTGCTGGCGTAGTTGCTGTTTAAATCATTGTGCCCCACATAGCGGTAATGACTGTATGTCGCCTGAAGGAACTGAACTTCCGAGGTGACATCTTACTTCAGCTTGAAGCTCACGAAGACAACAAGCAATTATGCGTAATCAGTTGAATTGTAGCTTTGAGAATTGTGAAAACGGACGCTGATCGCAATCGTTTGTCTTGGTTCCACCTTTGGAGCGTTGGGAGAGCTCAAAGTGAAAAAGAGATGCCAAGTTAAACACAAAATAGTAGTAATAATACAGTATAAAATAATAATTGTTTGAATATGGCGCGTTGCGGAGTTTTTCTTGATTTTACGGTAGCATAAGTTCAGCTTTATTAGCTAAAATTTTGACAAGCCTACCACATCACAACCATTTCGTAGACAGCAAACACGGCACGACATGACAAGTTCTCTGAGCAAGCCTCGGTCGAAATAGAAGCTAACACATATCATAGCATGAGACAGCTGCAAAAGCCGCACATAACTGCCAGCGACATCAGTACTGATCGCAGCAGAAACTGTAGTTCCTTTCCGCTAGCGAGTTCTTCCAAGGCTGAACTCGTTCGAACGTCCGTATGGGGCTGATTCGCTTAGTGTCGGATGAAACCAGGCTTCGTTTCTTGGCTCGAAAAGCTTGACCAAGTCATGAAGACGAGGCAATGTCCGGGAAGCGTCCTCCCCGGCAGCCCCTGTTCGGCTTGGACGGGGCAAGAGGGATGGCGACGTGACGTGCTTACCAACTTCGCGGTTTGTATCCCGCCACGTCGGCCTTATAGAAGAACACCCCATGTGTGGCTCGCTCCGCAGCGGACTGGCATGGTGTCCTCCTTTCGTTCAGCTTCCCAGCGACTTCGGGAGCCGCTTTCCTTCCCTTTCTTCTTGGATAACCAAGTCCTCAACCTCGACTCGCCATACCCTCGAGCTTCTCTCGAGTACCAAAGGAGTTTTGACGTTACAGTTTAAATCGTACCATGAAACTCTGACTAGAGGTAGAAGAAGGAAATTCAAAAACAATCATAAGTTTATATGTGATAAATTTGCGGTTCAGTTGAGAAAAGATGCATATACAACATATACATAGGTCTTTTTTGCGTAAGCTTAACGTTAATTCATTACCAACCTACGGATGGGTTTGTTAGAGCAAAAGTCGAAACATAAGAAAAATATTGTATTGCAATATACATTTAATATATTGTGATAAACTGTAAAATTTATTATGATAGAATAATATAAAGTTATTATTATTATTATTATTATTATTATTATTATTGTTATTATTATATGTATATATAAACTGTATTGAAGAAATTTAGATCTTTGGGAAGAAGTTTTTAATGCTTTGCAAAGTTGATCTATTAAGAACTTACAGACATCCAAACGCTCCATACAATCTTGTGAAGTTTCTATCTAACGTATCGCTATACAAAATTTAAAATTGACTGCCTTCAATTTGAGGTGGACATACTAACATAGCGAACACCTAGATCCCAATTCTGCAGTTGACTCAACATGTGATTGCCCATAGCACGTTTTACAAAATTGTACCGAAAACACTGAAGATGAAGAAGAAGAAGAAGAGCCGAAAAGAAAGTTTTTCAGAAACTACGTGAGCCCAAGACAATCAGACGTGTTTCTGCTTAAAGAAGATTTTCTCAGATATTATCAACGAAATATTTGTCTTGGACAACCCACTACCATAGTCGAGGCTTGGGCTGGTCTGTGCCGTCTGTCAAGGAAAGAATAGGCGAGATAATGATATCGAAAAGAATATAACACAGTGTCGGTGGTAATACTGCATAGATTCGGCCATAGACCGTATCCGCAATTGATATCGTGAGTCGTTTGCTGAAAAACCTAATCACGAGTCAACACGACTAATATAGTTATGCGACGACAAAAACAATCTACTTCACGCCACGCTTCAGTCATGGACCTGACTGAGACCAATGCAATCGAACGTGGGCTTCAGCCCCCGTATTCTCCTAACCTAAGTTTACGCGAAGTCGATTGCTTATGCATGCTAAAGAAAGTGGCGGGGGGCGTCGCTTATTCTTTTAAACAAGCTATCGGTAAAAAGGATAGGTATAATAATACAAATCACAAGTACATAGGCGTTCAGATACGTTCGACCGAACATACACTTTTTATAAACATTACGGAGAGAATACGCTATAGACATGTATTAAATTTAGAATGTTGGAGTTTCTCAATCCGGTAGGGGCATGTATTCCGGACAAAGGTTACATACGGATACTTGAATATAAAATGGCTTGCTACTTCCCCTTTTTAACTTTCTACGTAATAAGTTTTGCACGTGCTATTAACATTATAGATGACACTAACTGCAATGACAACTGGCTGAGGTTTCGCCGTTTGTTGTGCACGTCATAAAGATTGAAGGCACAGCCTGTGTCAGGAGCGACGTCTCTGATCAGAAGAAGGCAGCTGAGCTTGAACGCTCAACGAGAACACCGTCAGTTTCTATTTTATTATCATTACCATCGTTTGTCTATACGTATATTCAACCATACGAGTTAAGCTCTTAGAAACGTAAATGAAGTATACCATAGATGTTTGATGAGTCTTAGCATAATTTGTACGGAAAAGCTGCTAACTAGGCCGACAAAGCGGCCTGATAAACGAAGATAGTTGCAGCCTATAGAAAAAAAAGGAATTGTCATCATAATTGTACGATCGTATTGTCAACTACGTACCTCTGCATTGATGTGGTAAAACAACTAGTTTATAGAAGTACAGGAGCAAGATGATCTTGATTTTCTTTCAATAAATTGCTCTGTCTTCTTTCTCTCTTTCTTTTACCTATCAATAGCATAGCATCTTTTACCTATCGCCTTTGTATATTATATGTATACCCATGGGCAGGCGATTGTACATGAGGGCGATATCTGTAACGTGTAATTTTTAATGTATATCTATTGTTTGGTGCCTGTTCTATTCGCCGCCATCTATAATATACAGCCGTGATGGCATCGTATTATATTTCCCACGTTTATTACGGGTTCTTCTAGCTTGATATTTAACCAGAAAAGGTTAACTGATAGCTTAATAATAAGTAGCGAGCGATATTACTTGTATTTGAACTGCTACACAATGGGTTGTTGCTCCACGGTGGTTAGCCACATCACGGACTATCCAATACCGTGATCGCGTTTTTCTTGGCAGTGAGCTTGGCTTTGTCATTGTATATGGTGCTCGTTTTGTCAAGCTCAACGGTGGCCACGGTTCTGGTAGAAGAAGACAAGGCCAAACGGCAAGCACAACGCAGGATTAAGATACCGGTAACTCGGTTGAAACAGAGCCGAAGCGGGCGTCATAACTGCGACGCCTTTACGTTAACAACAAACCAAAAGGCAACATGCACTAGTACGGCCAGCTAGAGCTGTTGTTGTCATATTAACGACCCGCGGTCGCCAGCGCCAACAAATTTCTTCCATTTGGTATTTCGCCCAGAGTGAACCCCCGCAGCTAACACTAGCACCCTTGTTTTCGTTTCAGCTTCTTCACTAAAGATAGCTTGTTGATTTCAAATGTATTATTTTTGTCTAACAGTCATACACGTTGTTTTGTTGACTTTCGTCATCACCTTGTGCTTGCCGACTACCGCACTTCTCATGTCTCACGTAAACGGTGTAAACTTAGGTTCTGTCGGACCATTTTATTGTATCGGAAATTCGTTCTCCGGTATAGTCAATCCGGATCATCAAGATGTGCTACGAGATCAGGCACACCTAGCACTTCTTGTGATTCTAGAATTGCGACAGGATACATTTGTACTCTGCACTTGCACATATTGTTTAAGATACCTAAAGCTCGTTTGTTTACATTGAAAAAACAAAAGATTAATAACTTATTTACTTTCGCATGGTTCAGTAATATTATGTTTGTGTTCACCACAGTCGCGTGGGAATATTCAAATGAGGGTTAGCTTCACATTTGTTCGTTACTTCTAGAAAGTTTCTGTGCGTCGATTCATTCTATAGGCTTAATATAGAGAAAAAAAAACTTCAGCTAGTTTAACTGCGGTGAACATGCAGCTGAATCGACCGGGTTCAAGACTCAGCTCCAAGTTCACTATTATTATGCTTCGGAGCAACACATCAGACCCAGAACGGAGATAGATATTGCATCCGAATGGATAGATCTTGATCAAAGTTCAGCTGTGTTGTTTCCTGATTAGGTAGCATTCTCTGTTCACCTAAAATAGCCTTTTACTGACTGATGGGCTAGAAAAAAAAGCAACAGGCTCAGATCATCGTGGCTCTTTTGAGCAGTTACAATTCGGTACTTCAAACGATGCCATTTACCGCTTTTGTGGGCACATTTACACACTTATGAGTAATGAGCACAGTCAATTATTACAGTTGGGTTTGAACAATCTTAATTGCAAGAAGGCTAAAAGTCTCATTGTATTTATAGTTACCAAAAAAAAAACATCGTTATCGGACAAGACTAAACCAACAGCAGCGGCACCTTGCGACAGGGTTCTGTAATAACGGTTTCCATCTCAACCTTCACGTCGGGTTGGACCAGGGTCCATTTGCCCGCCTGTCTATCCGTGCCGATGTCGACGACATCGCGGCCGTTAGCTATCGCGCAGCCCCCCTTTGCGGATCACTTAATCTCGTGGATATATTTATCATCACTCACTTAGCCAACAGTCAGTCACATCAACCACAGAAAGCTAAAGAGCTGACAGTTATTTGCCACTCCCTCTAATCGAGGTGCAGGGATGAGGAAGAAGCAAAAAGAGAACTGTACTCATATGATTAAATAATACAGCTCATCTACGATCCGGATTCTCGCGCCTGCGATATCTTCGCTCCGGCATGGGGTACTCGCTGCCTAAGCGAACAGCAGTAAAAGCAAACCCAAGTCAGTACCAACCCCCGAACAAGAAGGTGTCCGTAGAGGGGTCTTTATAATAGCTGGCTAGCAACTACTGCCTGCCCATCAGTCTTCTGTCTCGTTGTAGCTCAGGCCGGGGCTCTTTTCAGCATGGGGCTATCTGAACAGCGAAAGTGAACCCGTTGCTCCGGCGATCTAGCCATATAGAATAGAAACGACGATAGATCCTTCCAAAGTGGCACGGAACAGCTAACTGTTTGTATGGCGATTTTATTACTGCCACTAACAGCGTAACTATATTGATCTTATCATATTAACTATGTGTCTCAGATCGAATGCGTCAAAAAGGGTGACCGTAACGCATTGGCTCAGCGGACAATGGAAGGCACAGTTGTCTTCCGAAGTGTGCAGTAATGTGTTACATATAGTATAATCGAAGTTCCGCGGTGCAAGGACCAACGTGATGTCCTAAATGGACATGCTGCGATAGGGGCTTGCTTCTTATGCGGTAAATGCTTGCGTATTTCCTCATATGAAACAAGTTCACGCTAACACACATATCAGCACCCCCGCCTCGAGCATAAAAACGTCACAAACGAAGTTATAGTATATATTTACTACTTTCAATGAGCCGATCTGAGGAGAAACAACACACTCAGATTTGATTCCTTTATAATGTACGCTGACATCGTACACCTTACCCTGTGCCCATATCAGATGCTGGCAATGCACTGTATATGTCTGTATGAAACGAATTCAGGGGTTTTTTATCGGCGTCAGCGGTGCCACCCGCCAACAGCCGCGGTACCTTGCAGCTGGACCCTCGGGTGCCGTCACCGCACTACCCGCTCTAAACCGCAGTCATGTCAATGTACCATAGGTACACTTTCACCTGTCTTCTTTTCCTCAACTATTGCTAATTTGCATTTGTCTAGCGGGAGATACGTAAGAATCAGTGAGCAAAAATTATGCACGATGCGTTCAAGTTGTGTGGCGTCCGTAAACTCTTGCGGTGCCGGCAGTTACCATGAACGATAGTCATTAATTACGGCGAAATTAATTATTATATAATTACTTATATTAATGTTACTACCATTATTATTAGCTGGTTCAGCGCTAGGCTTTACTCTTGTGGTTTGTGCGCTGAGCGCTGTTCTAGCTGCACCAACTCGATGATCGCATATTACTAATAGTATAACAGAAGGAGGGACTTTTCCGTTGTCGCATTAGTTGTTATAACAATACTAGTAGTTGTTGTTATGGTTGATAGAAAAATCCTGTGCCGTCCTGTTTATGGCAATGGGGGGCCGAACTGGTAGCGCCAGCAGCGGAAGTGGCAGACAGAGGCGGTTGCGGTGTCTTTCACGGGGTGAAAGGTCTTGGACCTCTTCAGCTTTTTCGTTGCCACTGCCGCAGGGGTGCGCTGTTTTTTCGGTTGCTGTTACTGCCGCCGTCGCCGTTATCATCTTCACTAGCTACTCGCAATACACTCGTATTCCAAGGTACTGACTGCGCTACCCTTACTCGTGATAGGCCTGGCTGCTGCCCTTCGGCCGTGGGCTGGTCAGTCGATCTATCGATCGATCGATACACCGTGCGCCGAAGGGCCACGAAGATTCCGCGCGTACAAAGGCGCCGTTGCGGCGCGTAGATCCAAAGCGTGATTTCTGTATTAACCAGTTTTGTTTCGTTCGTCAATCGATACCATTAATGGAAGAACCCAAAATAAAAACAACAACAGGATAACGGCGCTTAACGCAAGCGACGCGTTGCCAGAAACGGGGGATCACTCGTATCGCAGGTACAGCTACAGAGCGACTAGAGGTAGAAAGAAGGTCATATTTACGTCGATTTGAGTGAGTTGGGTTGGCGGCATAGAACAGCCCAAGATCCACAATGGGGTCACGAGGAAAAACAGACAAAGTGAGAGTAGCTATGCAAAGACTGGACGTCGCGATCTTCCGTTGCTTTTTGTGAGAACAAGCCGAACGAAGCAACTTTGTTGGCCATATTTGCGTGACCTATTATAGGCCATTTTGTATTTAAGCAAGCGGCGCCAATTTCAATAGGACTTTTAAAATTTGTGGACTTACTTATTGCGCCAGAATTGAGTGTCAATCTATTATACTATGATTTGGAGATTATAATATCAAATTGGCCAGTTAATGTTTCGCCGAAACTTTGCAATGCTATAAAACGATACTGGCAGTTGTTGTTATTGCCACGAGGGTCAACGTTGAAAAGAAAATTTCAGAGGTGGCTACGACATACTGGAATAAAAAAGAAAGACCTTTGCTTTATCTGACAGTACAGTTGCGCGTATAGCTCAACATTGGTCGATATGGATACATGATATTAAAAGCGTACTGATATATCTGCCGTAGCCACAGCCTCAGCGAATCTTTTCTAGTTGCTCGTCTCAATACCTGAATTGCGTTCTCACCGTCGGACTTCACCACGACATCATTAGCACCTCGTTGGATATTATCAGATTGTTGTTCACAAGAGGAACGTCGAAGAAATTATTAGATCGTGGAATCTCGACCAGGGAGCGCTTGCTTGCGAACCTGACGACTGCTGTTAGCATGACATATTGTCTGACTCTACGCTTTTGAATTCGTATCACCGATCTTGCCGTTCACGGGCCCGATGATCGGCTGCGATGTCTCTTCGGCGACGTCTTCACCATCTTCAACAGGGACGGCATCTGCAACAGCGACCGGCCAGCGGACACCATCAGCCCAGCGCCAAACACAGTCAGCCGGCAACAATATAATCTCGCGATCGTTTCTCGCATACGCTCATTGGCATGTACCGTCTGGTGTCGAGTCGGTGTGTTGTTGCGCTCTATCTTCGAGCGTGTGAAAGCGTTCGACAGAGCTCCACATTGGCCTTGACCAGTATTTCGATATCAATTCTGCTGATATACCCTACGATATATTCGAGAGTTGAGGCCAATAATGGCCATCATGGAGTCATTCATCCGAAAAGGAGCGGTCATCACGGCACGTACTTGCTATCGTTGATAGGGAAGACCGCAACGACGACCCTACGCGGCTTGTGGTGGCAGGTTGGCCAAACATCATCCAGTCTTCGCCGCCAGCCAAGATTGTCTTGGCCAAAAACTATTACTGACTAGGCCCAGCGCTGACATTTCAACATTATTAATGAACGATCCAACTCATCGAGATGCGTTTTATAAAATGCGATTATGATTGTCCTAACTGTTCGAATACGTTTGATTGTTGAACACATGTTTAACATAATAGCTCGCGCCGTACAATTTTCAGTGTTCAATGTATATGTGTAATGTAATGTATATAATGTATGTAACGCATGTATGTATGTCTATCTATAAAATTATGCCAATTGATACGTTAATTTCTCTGCCCTCACTTAAACTAAAAACTGCTTAGATAGAGCAGACAGGGTTTGACATTTTAAAGTTTGTACACTTTATAATCTTTTTTTCTGTATTTTACATTGTATTTAAATGCAATAAAAAAGACAAATAAGTGAGCTATATAAAAATAGCATTTGTGGGTGCCCTGAGGTATGATTGAGCAAAAAACAAAAGCAAAGATAGCATTCAGTGCTTCATTTTCAAGTTCATCACTTGCATGCATGAGTTATTTAGCCTTTAGGCTCTAGCCGAACCTCTTCATTCTGAAAACCATATAAACGGCTTTCAGTTTGCGTTCCCTTATTAGCACTTGAAGTTTATACAACTGTACATATAATCGTCGGCATTAAAGTATACTTTAAATACGTTTACGCCTGCAAATATGGTCAGCGGCCTCCACCTATGGGCCGAATCGACCTAGGTGGACGCCGGGCCGTCTTCTTGAGGGTCGTACATGTATGACAATCTTTGTTAGTTAATGCCAAGCACCTACCGCTACTGGCTGGCATCACTGACTGACGCGTATTATGTAAAGACGCATTGTATGTTATATATCGGGTACCATAGAATCACCGGTTAAATCCGGCGCTTTCAACATACAGCTTAAAGATACCATCCGTGTATTTTGTAACTGCTATCGTTCGAATAAACAAAACCAATAACATCAATTAGCAGATCACTGGTTCTCCCATCGTCGAGCTTCTTCTATTGGAAGATATATGCGGAAATAAAAAAGGATTGTTCATTCATGCCAGAAGGATCACTACAGATGTGGGTGTACAAGCTAAAAAACCTCAGTCACACTGCAGCGGCGTCATGTACAAGCGGTCCACTGGACAGATCGACAAACTAAGTGCACGATATTCATTTTGTTGTTCGGTTACGTTCCCATTTGCCACTCCTCGGCGTCAAACGTGGGTTTGTGATCTGCGGGTGGGCTGAGTGGATAACAGTTTGAGCCAAGCTAAGATACGAACGTCACCGTAATAGCGACTACGCTCCCGCCGCGACGATTTGCCGAATCTCTCCGTATATCGCCAGTATCGGCGATACGATGTGGATGATACTGTGTGCGGAATAAAGGCAAAAGCAAAAACAGGTGTTAAAAGAATGCTTTCATAACAGAAGCCATCTCAACAGATTAAGGAAGACCCCACTGAAAAACATGCACGAGACGAGTGTATGATTAATGAAAACCTAATTCTGCCCCACCTAAATTGGGGTTCACTTTAAACACTGAACAGCACCACAATGAGAACAACCGCAACAAGTGTAAATGTACCAGCGTCTTTCCCGTGCTCAGTACAATCAAGGAACGAAAACGAACGTCAGGATGTTCGGGACACCGTCTGAATGGGTAGTGGCTAATGTGTAACGGTAATTCGATTTGCAAAAATTCTGTTTTGTACTCATTAAATATATATTGAACAAGCACCAGTGTATGAAGCACATTACTAATAGATTATTAATAATTTTATTATTTAAAACGAATAGGCCGATTCAGCTATACAGACCTTTGTTTTTTTTTTAATACCATTATTAATAACCTGCCCTCTACACGTGATTTTAGCACGAATCTTCAATACTTTTGCGTTCAAGTCCGCAGAGCGGAAGCACTGCCGAAATTTATATATATATATATATATATATATATATATATATACAGCCAATAGCCATATTTCATATTTCCAATATAACTAACTTCATTAGTGTTCATCGAAATATAGAAGCGGATAACATGTAAAGGTCGTGCTAACTATAATCATCTGAGTTACCTCATCGAAGGGAACAAATTTTTTTCGCGTATTGACACTGGGCTCTTTCATGTCGCATTATAAACGTTTCACGGTAGATTGACTACTGAAGATCCTTGAAAAATATCAGATTTTTTTTTGATGTGATAGAAAAAGTAGGCATTTATATATAAACGTGGAAATTCAGAGATTCACCGTTCAGATATGACATAAGATTGGAGGTCGACTTCGCTTAGCTGAAACTGCACCACTGTTTCGTTTATCGCCATCGCCTGTAGCTTCCCTAGTTAGAGGAAAGACCTTTGGTGCTCAGTGGATTCTCAATGGATTTCCTCATCGATCTTGGTGTGAGGCACAATGCAAATACCGAGCTAGGATTGCAACAACGAAGATGTGGTCCTATACTACATACAGCTCAAACCAATCTATATAGCTTCTATCGACAGTAGCTGTACGCAGGCAATTCCCCATAAAGTGTACGTTTTTTTTGTCTGTTATTTTGAAAACGATCGCCATGTACGCGCAGGTATTGGATAGAATGTTCCGCATAAACAGATGTATTGACCATGAGTATTAAACACATATAGAAAAATGTTGTGCCTGAGCTGTTAAACTGCCAGGGCATCAGACTTGAGCTGGCGTCTGGACAGAGTACAAGAGCAACAATGGCGCGTGCACATGGGAGACTTTGGTTGTTATCTGTAGACGTAACGCCTTCCGTATGGATGCCGTCAGTTATTATTTACAATAAATAGTAGATTAGTGAATCCATAGCGTTTATGCTTTAGTTTGTAGTTTATGTATGCTTTAGCTATAGTTTTACGCATTGAACACTGTCTTTATTAAGATAGGTACTTGAAGAGGCGGCCGCGATCGGAGTGTAGCAGAACAGATCTACAAAAGCCCACCTGCCGTACCAGATAAGTTGCTGAACTTTGGTGATGAACTTCATTGTGGAATCGACCTAGAAAACCGCACCAGGACAACTGAGTTTTAATGTACATGTCACGCAATTAAATCACAATATAACGCACGTACCTGTTCGAAATGCACGTGTACCGCGCTAAGAAGCGTAACATTGGTTCAGTTTCCTCTCAATAACTAGGCCTCGAATAACTAGTACCACTCGAACGTGGGTCACATCAGGCAGAACAGGCAACGGCAACGGCGCCTGAAGCATTCTCATGCCAGTTATTGTTCTGTAAACGATCGAAAACTTTTACCTATACTTCGATTAGCCATTTAACAGCGTTGTTTCACCTGGTTTGCGAGCGGCTGTTGATCAGCGCATAGGGATATAACCACATACCGTACTATTCTGGCAGTAAGTAAAAAACGTAAGTTAGCAACAACGAAACGGCCAAGTTAAATGTTTTCGTATTGTTTCGACCTGACCAGCCCGCAACGAGTTGCTGAGTAGGAAATGGATAGACGGACAAACAAACTCATCTAGGCCGCAGTCAACGCGTGCTCAGCTTTTTTCAACGGGAGATGAATAACCGCATCATCCAGCAGCTGCGAGCGCTCTACTACATGGCTGTGTGGCTAGCTGATCGGACCAGTCTAGTTTAGCCGGTTCAATACGTTCAGTCATTAATCAGATACGTATCTATACGTCCCTGCGTTCCGCTTTTCGCCTTGCCAATACATACGTGTTCAGCTACGACACATTAATAATAATGATAGTAATCATAATAGCGAAAAGAGATTATACAGCAATAGAAATAAAGATCTGACTCGACAGGAAGCTGCAGGGAAGAACCTCGGAAGAGATCAACGAATGATGATGATGATGGTGGCAACAATAAGCTCCTTGCTGAATATATTCTCGATATCATTTTGTTAGAGGGGAATCGATAAATAGATGTTTTACAGTTTAGACATTCCGTCGGACGGCTGGCTCTCAGCAAAAAAACGAAATCTGTCTATGCCCGGATTCGAACCTCAGCCACGATGCATCCCGAAGATTAGCAGGCAAACGCGTTACCCACTAAGCCACTCAAGCACGCTGGCTCCTATTTTCACACTAAAAAAAAAAAAGAAAAAAATGTGACCAGAGTAAATAGAACGCTGTCGAGACACTGAGACGTGCAAGTTCATGCATGCAAGTCACATACCTATTGTAGTAAGATAAATATATGGAAAATTAATAAATGTCAAGGGTAGCCAACGTTACTATTGTTGCCACTACGTCGATGAATCTGACGTAACTAGAAATTCAAGTATGCTCCGGTGATACATTTTATAAATAGTTGGCTTTGTTATTATAATGTAATTTTATTAACTAAATGCTGCTACAGTCTAATCGTAATGTGGAGTTTTTGTGTACGTTGCCCTCGGAACGGCGGGTACTCTGAGCACGTTCTACTCAAGTTACCCATATTTTCATAAGTACGAAATGTTATACCGTGGAACGAAGTTCATACGGCTGTTAAACGCATGCTCGACGTACACCAGTTAAATTGGACCTTTTTATTAAAATAAGAAATCGCTTTGGGCATTTCTCGCCGAGTACTATATCCGGCGAGCCATAATCAATGATCATCGTTTCACTATCTGAATACCAATACGAAGCCCTGAAGATGTCAATCAAATTCTAAGAGTAGCCGACAACACGCCATATTCTAACCTATAATGGGTATGTGGTATTTTTTTCGGTTACTATCCCCTCCTGAGCCTAGATTGCTCACGAAACGAGAGTATTTCTCGACGTCGGGTCCTTTTTGAGTCCTGTTAGTTTATTCGGCCTCTACTGGGCGTTTAAGCAAACTTCCTAGTCTTTACCGACTATCTAAAAAAAACCAACAGCTTTAGGATACACTCCTGAGAGAAGCGAGCTATGGGTGTGAATCTTTTTAAACCGCTGGTAACGCTGTTGCTGCTGATATTGCCTCAACCGCCCCCTTTCTCTATTGAAGGTTCGAAGTCCTCAACGGTGCGAAGTGGCGGGAGGCAAAGCAATTGTGAAGCATGAGGTGATGAATGCTACACAACGGCAGCGGTCGCAGTCGAAGATGAAGTGTCTTCTTGCGTGAATGCGGGCAATGCCACTACTGGCGGGGATGCATAAAAGTGTGGGTGAGTAAGGGCTGCATGTAGGTTAGCCTCGTGTACAGAGGCTATGGTACGATATCGAATGCATTTTGTAGCACGCAGGAGCAGCAACATTGCATGAGGTATGGGTTTATATAGATGTGGGAGCGCCAAAGTCGCGCGTGCAAGAATGTATCTATAGCCAACTATATATGCGAGTTCAAGCGTTTACTTCAAAGAAAGAGTCTGGAGGCTAAGAGGACCAGTTCCACGTAGACCGGGCAGGGAAACCTTTATTGATAGCCAACAAACACGACTAGATTCCCCAGATCGAAGCGGCCGTGACAGACCGTCGGTGACGCGTCAGGAAGCGGTCTAGATGTTTGCTCTGGAGCAGGTAAAAGAAAATTCGAGTCACCCTACTCGTCTCTGATAACTTCAGTCGCATCCCATCTTTCCCCTCCTTGTTTCGTGCACCATAATAAGGACCATCGTCATAATATAATAACATACGTGAGGATCTCGTCTATATACCGAATCAAAACACTGTCAGCTACTGCATGTATGTGTTGTAGATTTGGAAAATAGAGAAAATACTACATACATATATATATATATATATATATAGAGTATTTTGCCTGTTTCCATATATATAATCAAGCTCATATCTGGTACATATATAGAAGTGAACACTCATACTTTAGCATAGTTAAATATGTTTATTTATATATATTGCAGAAAATGAAAAAGACGCAACTTATACATGCGGCCCGTAGTTGACACCTCTTCTTAATGTAACTGCTACAAATATGTCGCTTTTCTTTCGGCGTCCTAATTGTTGCAGGAGTTGTTCGCTGCTGCTGTCGATATAATCATCATTAAGGACGTACCTCTTTAAATAGCGACTATTGGCGACGGCCGATGTTCAACTGACCTAGTTAGAATGTTGGCCTGCATCTCTTTTCAGCATATCTCAGACGAGTATCAGGAGGCTGCGCGCATAATTCGAAAGTTATCTATAAGGAACTAATAACTGTCACGTATATAACTAAACGATATGTAATACCACAGTTATTAAATTAAGAAAGCGATTTGTTGTTTAAAAAGTACAGATACATGGTGTTGAGAATGTAGAACGGGTACCACTTCTTAGCACACAATGTAATATAACTGGCCGGCTTGAAGGGCCTCTTAAAAGATTCATTCATATATCCGATGCTTTAAAAATGTCCAATGTAAATTCAAGCTTGTATTGAATATAAAATAGTATGTACTATATCAGCGAACTTTCTTGCATTACACATAGTCGACGCCGGCCCAGGACACGTCGTCGTAATTCTATCCTAAACAGGTCTAATAGCAATTGTTTTAAATCTTCATCCTTTTTCCAAGGCAAGTTTCCAGAGGCAAGTTTCCTGGTGGTGGCCACCCCAAGATAGACCGATTCCGTCTTCCTTTGCGCGATAGTGTTTAAAGTACTAAACTAATGCAGAGATCTTTCAGTATGTCGATGACCGTTCAGTATTGCTATATATATATATATATATATATATACAGCCGGGTCTGATTCGCCGGGGACTAGCCACCATACTACCTGAGGTTCCCACTCTTCGCAATATTTCGTTCCAAAATATATACGACGCATTTTACACTAATTTAAGTGAACGGAGTCTGTTCTGTTCAGCGCGAAGACAGGCACACAGAAATACATATTCATATCACCATATAGAATAGGACATGTGTAGGAAAGCGAACGACGACAAAGGTAGTAACTCAGATGAACCGGCTCAGGAGAAGGCAGACAATGAAGGCAAGTCCCTCCTGTATCTGCATGCGTGTTCGCCTCTGTATATATGCCATGAGCTATACGAGAATGAAGCAGAGTCAATTTTCATTCTGTCGAATCCTTTCCTCGAGCATCCTTGCATCAGTTACCTCAAAGCGACGAGAAGGAAACAGTCGTCAGAGACAGGTGGGCAACAGATGCCGTGCTCCTGTACAGATGCTGCCTGTCGAGGTCCATTCATGAGCTGAACGAGTTGCCTGTCACTGGATGATCATTTACATTCAACTAAGGTTACCTAGGCCACGAACGGCATCCCGTGGACTGTGCTGGAGCATATTGTAGCCAGTACCGCCCGTACGACTAGTAGACAAAATATAATAGCAGCATCTTCCCGGAAGCAGTGCTCTTCCTAGCTAGCGGAAAAGGATATGCAACCAAAAGTGCAATGTATGCTGTTGTGCCTGCCTACGGCGCCTTCTCACCATCCTCCCTCGTGCTCACTTATCAAACAGTTCGCCTGAGCTGTCCAGGCAGGACCGAATGCCTGTCGCCCAACCTTCAACACGCTGCTCAATGCTACACCGCTGTCCTGCTGATAGCCCCACGAAGGTGTCGCTACCGCATGAGTTTAAGAAGCGTCTCCAACGGGGCTGGCGGGGGAGGGGGGTACGAGGAGAGGGAAGGCTGATTAAGTTCTGTTGAAGATAGCTCCGCATGGTAAACTAGCTGGGTGCACAAAGAGCCCGATCATGTTGATCATCATGGTCTTCTTCCTATCCGGCAATGGAAGGTTGTGGCACGTCCGTTTGCTCAGTGGAGAGGAACGATGAGAAAAATCGCGAGAGGGAGGGACAGGCCAGCAACTAGACATAGTGAGAACGAGCCGTTGGAAAGCCTTTTAGACGAGCAGAAAAGTCGCTGGCTGAACGGATGGCATTCCCCTCGAGTGACACAGTAAAATTCGGACGACATTGTCCTATGCGTTGTCGTTGCAGACGAAACGTATGCCTCTACATTATCTGGTTAGTCAAGGTGGGTGGCAGCGGAGAAAATCTGACAAAAAAGTTTACGTACGATCGATGCTACCACACGAAAAGGCGGACCGTTGAAGTCCAAGTTCTGGGTTTGTCGGTTGTAAGTCAAGTCAAGTAAGCCTTTATTGAGCTAAAGGTAGGTATATGCACATCTGAATATTATTATTCTGTGCTTGGCGCGCGACAAGTGATTTTCGGAGAGAAGCTGTCTCGTTAAAATGAACGTTTTTTCTTTTACCTTGCTGCTCGACTCAGTGACTGTATCTGAGCTATTTCCTTGACTGGCTTTGTTTTCTACTGCACGAGAGTTTAGGTGCCTTAAAAGACAGATCTTAAAGTTGAGTACTTGGTACTATGTGCCTATTATTTGTGCACCTGAAAACTTCCAAAGATTGGTCCTACGTGATGCAC